TTACATGCAGATACGGAACCAATTTTTTTGTCAGTGCACCTTTATAGCAAAAAAAAGACAAGGTAGACATAAAGAGCGCTGTCTCTGAAACAAGTTTTTTGTTTTTTGATGAAGCGAAAGAATTGGCCACGTTCAAACAGGGCAATGCTGCATGGTCGGCCCCTATTCCAAGGCACCGCTTGCTCTCGCCATGTTTTTATCCCTCCCGACTAGCCTCAGATGACCCCCCAAAGGCCGGGCTAGACAGCATTGCCTCCCACATCTCTCTGCTGTTGGAGAGGTTGGAGACATGGTATTCCTACCCGGACTTTCACGTTTATTTTATTTTTCGTCAGTAATTATTTTGTATGCAGCATTCTTAATTTTTAGGTTGCGAATAACATTGTAGTTTTTCGCTCACAACCAACCACGTTGACGCCGACTGCGAAACGACCTCTTGAACGCGTTATTAACCCTGAGTTTCAGAGATGTAAACACAGCGGTGCGCTCGGATAGGATGGCTGGCACGGACTCGGAGATACGCGCGCGCTTTCTCTCTCGCACGACGACCATTTTTACGTGTCACTCGCGATGTATTAACTCGAGGCTAGACCAAGGAGGTTCAAATAAATCTTGCGCGAGTTGAGGCCGCATATGCATAATGTTACAGCAGCTGTGATCAAATGGTTTTTTTTACAAGAGGTGAGCGATGGTCGTTCGCGGCAGCGCACTGCGATCGTGCCAAGACTCTTCGTCTTCCTCTCCCTGTCTTCTCTGCCTTTTACTAGTCCGTTATGCTCCCCCGCGAGCAGACGAAGCCAGTAGGGCGAGTTATGATGCACAAGGAGGGTAAAAAGGTTTCAGGCGAGCAATGTGAGTGAGCTGCGTTCTGCTCGAACGTCGACCATTGGACAAAAGACAAGACATACGTAAGACATACGTAAGACATACGTATGACATACATACATACATAACACACATACATACATACGTACATACGTACATACGTACATACATACGGACATACATACATACGTAAGACATACGGACAAAAGACATACGTAAGCGAGCTGGCTGAGACGCTCCAAAACTACAAATAGACCTGAATATCGTGACATAAGCTTTTGACACAATCCACGCTTGCATTGCGGTGTCCAAAACAACACCAAGTCACCTTTTTTGAATAACACCGGTTCGTAACGGTCGTCGTATCGTTCCTTCGAACGACGTTGAGAGGCCAGAGTCCGAAGACGAGCGATTCAACGGGCTTCTTCCGCGAGGCACAGGGTGTTCGATACAGAGTCGTCATTGTGTAGAATGAAGGGTAAGAAAGTGTCTAGAGAGCTTAGTGGCAATCTGGCGTACAACAAATAAAATGGGCTGAAGTTCGTCGTTTCATGTTTCGCCGTGTTGTACGCATACGTGATAAGAGGCAGCACTTCATCCCAGCTCTTGTGATTGGAAGAAACGTACATGGCAAACATGTTGGTCAGCGGTCTGTTTGTCCGTTCAACGAGGCCATTCGTCTGCGGATGATATGGTGTGGAATGACGAAAACGTGTCGCGCACATGCGTAGTAATTATTCAACGACATCAGAAGTGAACTGGCGGCCACGGTCGCTGATAATAACATGCGGTGGGCCATGGCGAAAGACCATAGAGTGGAGCAGGAGGACTGCTACGCATGCAGCGGTAGAAGAGGAAATGGCTGCGGTTTCGGCATATCGCGTAAGATGATCTACGCAGACGATTATCCAACGGTTCTAATTGTAAGATAACGATAATGAATTCATAATGTCAATTCCTACTTGTTCATAAGGCGTGCTGGGTGGTGTTATTGGCTGAAGGAGACCTGGTATAGCGGTGGCCGGGCGCTTGTGACGTTCGCACGTCTCGCTGCTAGGGAAGTAACGCTTCGTTGTTTCGTACATCTTGGGCCTGTAAAATCGTTCTCGCGTGCGGTTGAGTGTTCGTATGAAACCCTAATGACTGGATGTCGCATCGTCATGCATAGCACGTACAACATTGGAGCGAAGGCTCTCGGGGACAACTACAAGAAAACGTGCTCCAGGTCTGGAGTGTTTAGTTTTATAGAGCAACTTGTCTCGGACCGTAAAGTGACCGCTGTGTTGGGAGGCCCGTGGACGACAAAAATAGAATCCAGGTTGAGATCGTTGCGTTGTTCTCTCTGGAAGTCAATCGCTTTGGGGAACATCCTTGTAACAGCAGCAAGGCAGTCGTCAAAATGCTCAGCATCGCAGTCGGCAGTCGCAAGAGGAATCCGGGAGAGGCAGTCTACGTCAGCATGACGACGGCCACTCTTTTACGACACCGTAAAGTCATATTCCTGAAGTCGCAGCGCCCAACGTGCGAGGCGGCCAGAGGGGTCACGCAACCCAACGAGGCAGCATAACGAATGGTGATCGGTAATTATCTTAAATTGCCTCCCGTAAAGATAACAACGAAACTTCTGTACGGCGAAAACAGCTGCCAGACATTCCTGTTTAGTAACTGTGTAATTGCGTTCAGATTTGCTCAGACAACGGCTGGAATAGGCCACGACATGCTCTGCGTCATTGTGACGTTGTAAAAGCACCGATCCTACAAGAGTGGCGATGTGGGCTTGTTGGTGAAACATTTAAAAGCAATTTGTGTAGCGCGAGGCGAAAAAAACGAACACAGGGAAGAATAGACTGAGAAGACAGAGCGCTACTATCAACAACATGTTTATTTTCGACCTCCAAGCTGCTTTTAAGCCATAATCGTCAGGCGACCAAGCAGATAAGCACGTGTAATTCAGATACATGCACGACAATGCCATCTACCTACAAGACAAAACGATAAATAGGACAACAAAACCTCACAGATAAAATCACGCATCACTGCGTACGCAGGAACGCCAGTTCCTTGGGTGACAAGGCAACCTTGTCACCCAAGAAACTGGCGTTCCTGCGTACGCAGTGATACGTGCTTTCATCTGTGAGGTTTTGTTGTCCTATTTATCGTTTTTTCTTGTAGGTAGATGGCATTTTCGTGCATGTATCTGAATTACACGTGCTTATCTGCTTGGTCGCCTGACGATTATGGCTTAAAAGCAGCTTGGAGGTCGAAAATAAACATGTTGATAGTAGCGCTCTGTCTTCTCAGTCTATTCTTCCCTGTGTTCGTTTTTTCGCCTCGCGCTACACAAATTGCTTTCAACCGATCCTACGCCTATTCCATTAGCATCCGTGCGGACCTCAGTCGGGCAAGATGGATCGAAGTGACGCAACAGTGGAGCTGCCGTTAGTACAAACTTAATTTGTGAGAATTCGGCGTCACACTCTGGTGTCCAGTAGAAGGTTGCATCCTGTTGCAAGATGCTTGCCAGCGGGTACACGATCTCCGCAAATCGTGGAACAAAACACCAAAAATATGAGCATAGGCCGACAAATGAGCGAAATTCTCGTGCGGACTGCGGTGGTTTAAAAGAGCCATCCTTGTCGACCAAGTGCCCCAGCACCAGAGTCTGACGTTCGCCGAAGCAACATTTTTTGGAACCAGCTCAGCTTTTTCGATGCAGTCGAGAACAAGACAGAGACAGTTGTTAGGTTCCTCAAACGTACGGCCAAAGACCGCAACATCGTCAAGGTAGCACATGCATATCTCCCATTTTAGATCACGTAATACTGCGTCGAAAAATCTTTCAAAGGTGGCTGGAGCATTACGAAAGCTAAAATGCATGACATTAAATTCAAATAGGCCATCCGGAGTTACGAAAGCAGTCTCTTCTTTGTCGCCAGGTTCCATAGGTATTTTCCAATAACCGGACCACAAATCGAGCGTTGAAAAATTGGAAGCGGCATGCAAGCAATCTATGACGTCATCAATCCGCAGTAAGCGATATACATCTTTCTTCGTCACAGTGTTTAGATGCCTGTATTCTACGCAGAATCTCCAGAAACCATCATTTTTCCTGACAAGAATTACCGGGGCTGCCCATGGGCTGCACGACTTTTGGACGACACCTTTGTTCAGCATGTCCTTTACTTTTTCGGCGATTACTTTGCGCTCAGAGGATGACACTTGGTAAGGCGTTTGGCGGATGGGGTGTACAGAGCCGGTGTCTATTCTGTGACGAGCGCGGTACGAGGGTATCTGAAGGGGTGCATGTCCATGTTTGAAGTCGAAAGCAGCAACATGCCGGGAAAGGACCTGCACCACCACTTGCCGTACCCTTGTACTGAGAGTCTTGCTGATCATACCGAGCATTAGATCTTCATTATGGCGAATGTTACAAGGAAAGAGGTGGTGAGGTCCGCAACTAGTGCTGCTATCGAGCTGCATGAGGCTTCATCGAAGAGAGCTATCTTCATCCCGCGAGGAAGCCCAACCGGCGTGGCAGAACAGTTCAGCGCCCACAATGTTGCTACTCCTTTTGTCATGCAAGCAACAGAACAGGGCACAAGTATGTCGTTTTTAGAACAGTTCTTGCATAGATGCCCCACTACGAGGCCAACGCAAGCAGCATCAACCGCTGTGGAAGAGACTCGAACAGGTGTCAGGCACCAAGATGGTGCTATACTTCATCAATCACACTAAGTGTGTTCCTGTGTTTGCCACGGTAGTCTTCCAAGGAAAGCGACGATAGAAACACATTGTTTAATAATATTTCCCCACCTACCACAGTCGAAGGAAGCATCGCATTGCTCCAGAAAATTGATACCAAGAATGACATCGTGCGAACAACGAGATACAAGTTGAAATTCGGATACAAATACTTTTCCAGCCAATGAAACACTGACAACACATACACCACGAGGATTAAGCCACTCGCCGCCTACACCACGAAAGGTGATTGTATCATTCTGTGAAAACATAACTTTGCAACCTAAGCGGTTTCTGAAAGGGAGGCTCATCACAGACACAGTCGTCCCAGTGTTAACTAACGCCATCGTTGGTATCATCAATCAACAGATTCATTTTTTATATCATAATAATATGCAGAGGTATATCTTGAAAAGGCCGTCCGGCGACCTCACCTCCATTGGCCGCGGATGTAAGTTTCCTGGTGGCGAAGAAGAACGGCGCAGAGAAGACGGCGAGCGACGAGAACGGTTGGATTGTGGTTTCTAACTCCACTGGGATGCTGGCGAATCGCTGTGTCTGGCCTCACGCGAAAAACGGTGCCTTGGAAGCAAGTATGTGGTTCGAAGGTGATATGATTTGCGGCCACAAGTGACAACTGTCTAACCACTGCTTTCTACCGTTTTAGCATTGCAAAGTACGCCTCGTGCTGACTGCCGCCTGGCTGCTTATCGAAGATAGAAGAAAAAGCGATCGTGACCGTGCCATCTCCGTGACGCTGACCAACCACGTGATGTCAGCGACGACAGCGCCTTCAGACCCATAAAACCGAAGCGAAGCGACGAACCACCGGGATTTGCGGCCACAAGTGGCAACTGCCTAACCACTGCTTTCTACCGTTTTAGGTATGAATTTTTATTGTTATAGCTGCTACTGAATTTTATGTGGCCTGCAGATCCCTCTTTTTGAACATGGGTATTGATGTGTGTAGTTATCGTGCTCGCATTGGTTTGTTCTTTGCTTGCCGAATGCCTAAATGTTTCTTCGGCAGCCGTTTCTCTGCCGGATCAGGTCTTATCCGTGTACTCAGCCCTAGGCCCTTGACTCTCTTGCTGTCAATGTGTCTTGCATTGCTACTGCTTTGTGCTGGCGACGTGGAGGCAAATCCCAGTCCTAAGATCGAGGATGTTCTCAGCTTGCTAAAAAAGTGTCATGATGAAACCACGTACAGCTTAACTGAAATCAAACAGCAGATCACGAGCATTGAGTGCCGCCTCTCAAGCCTAGAAAACACCGTTCACAAAGTATCGGACCTGACAGCAAACGTTGAAACTGTCATCGACACAGTTCAGGAAGTAAAATAAAATATTTGCAAGACGAACGAAGGTCTTGCTGACGTCGTGGACGATATGAACAATCGAATGACGCGAAATAACCTTATAATCAAAGGCCTTCCAGAAGAAGAGCACGAAGGGTATGCAGAGTCTGAAAGAATAGTCAAAAAATTCTTTTCAACACATCTGAAAATTGAAGCTGGTGACATCGAACGTGCTCATAGATTAAGAAAACCCCGACCACACTTTAACCGCCCTATCATAATGAAGTTTTTGAACTTCAAATCGAAATTTGAAGCTCTGTCTAGCGCCCCAAAGTTGAAAGACCTACAAAAGCCCAAAGTCTGGCTTGAGGAAGATTTCTCGCCAAAAGTCCAACTTGCCAGAAAGAAGTTACGCGACTACGCTAAGGCTCAACGTAAAGGCGATGAAAAATATACGGTGCGTTTTAACAAGCTTCAGATGCATGGTTCTACATTCTGTTACGACTCGGTAAATGATTGCGTTGTCATGGTGTCAACAAATAAACAAAGCCCTCCTGAATAACCCTGTAAAACACGTCACCACACGCCAAACTTGTCAAAATCGGTCTTGGTACTTTTGTTTAATTTTCGCAGCTTTTAGAAAAAGATTGATGCAATAAACGCCCTCGTGTACACGTGCTCAGCTGATATAGTCGTAGGTACGGAATCATGGTTGACCGAGGGCGTAACAAACAGCGAACTTTCGTTTCAATAATCGTTTGTTCTGTTTCGTAAAGGTAGAATGGGTGGTCGATGTGGTGGCGTTATTATTGCCATAAAAGAAATCTATCAGCCATCGCTTCTTCCCTCAGATTCCCCTCTTGAAATTGTCTGGGTTTCATTATATTTCGATCACATTCATTGCATAATTGGTGCCTATTACCGACCCCCTGATTACCGGCAGGATTTTGTTGAACTTCTTCAGGAAGCCATTGATTCCATTCTCCTCAAGTTTCTTAATTGTTTTCTAATACTTGGTGGCGACTTTAACTATTCTTCAATCAACTGGTCCACTTTATCTGTCCCGGCTCATCCTAATCGCCATGAACAGCTTAACTTTCTGTGCCTTCTCCATTATCACAATCTTAACAGATTGTGCAGGAACCAACACGTGACAGCAATATTTTAGACCTTATAATAACCAATCATCCCGACAGCACAAAAGTTGAGATCTTAGAAGAAATAAGTGATCATAAAACAGTTCACTGCTCTCTGCCTCTTCCGCATGCCAAGAAAACAAACGTCTGAAAAATATACTTAACTACGCACGCGCAGACACTGATAAGCTTAACAGATTGCTGGAATTTTTTTTGAATGAATTTATATTTAACTTTCCCAATCAGTCTACTGAAAAAAAACTGGTGCTTATTTCGTGACAAATTAAAAGAAATAGTACGTCTTTGTTTGCCGGTGATTACAATAACTGAAAGAGCGGATGATCCATGGTTCACCCGCGACATTAAAAGATGGCTTAAAAAAAAAAAGAGAGCGTACACTAAAGCGTCGAGAACGAACGCGTCGGAGGACTGGCAAAAATATAAAAACGTTTACAAACAGAAACCGCAATTTCTGAAGCGAAAAATAAGTACTGCAATGACACGCTACCTAACATGTTCAAAACTGACCCTAAGAAGTTCTGGAGCACTGTAAATTCCAAGAAAAGAGAGTCGGTGCCAGCACTCTGTGGAAAGGATGGCAACACCCTGAGCTTAGCAGGCTGTGCTGAAAAACTTAACCTTTTTTTTTCTGAAGTTCACACAATCGAGAGACCGCTCGATAACAACCTAAATTTGCCACAGCTAACTATCTCTAATCAATTTTCTCCCATCACAATTACTGGACACGGTGTAGCTTGTGCAATAGATCGTTTAGCTCTTAAAACCAGCCCCGGCCCTGATGATATTAGCGCTAAGCGTTTAAAACTAACCAGCCACTTCTCAGCCACTTTGCTCACGTTAATTTTTCAACAATCTTTAGATACCGGTTGCTTACCAGAGGACTGGAAATCTGCTTACATAATCCCAATATTCAAATCTGGTGATAATACTCAGCCCAATAGCTACAGACCAATCTCTTTCACGTCCATATGCTGCAAACTTCTCGAACATATCCTGTTCACAAATATAATGGCTTATGTTAATTTAAATAACTTGCTCCTAAACAACGAACACGGTTTTTGTCAAAATTTCTCATGTCATTCGCAACTTTTCGAATTAATTACTGACCTTCATTCTGTGCTTAACTCTTCCCGTCATGTCGATGCCATATTTATTGATTTCTCAAAGGCATTTGATAGGGTCCCCTACAAACGTTTAGAACTAAAAATTGCAATCTGAAGCTTGAAAACTATACAACACAATGGATACTGGAATTTCTTACTAACCGCTCCCAATCTGTAAAGCTTAATAGCTACATCTCGAACCCTACTAGCGTTTTATCCGGTGTTCCCCAAGGCTCGGTTCTTGGTCCTCTTTTGTTCTTAATTTACATTAATGACATAGCATGTAACATAAGTTCGAAAATTCGGCTATTTTGCAGACGACTGCGTTATTTACAAAGAAATAACTCGCCCTACCGATAATACCACTTTACAATCTGACCTCGATAGGCTGGCCGAGTGGTGCGACACGTGGCAGATGGTAATTTATATAGAGAAAACTAAGCACTTGGAGTTTAGTTCTGCTCTAATACCTTTGAATAAGTTATACACCATAAAGGACATTCGAATTGATTCAGTACAATCCCATAAATATCTTGGGGTATTTTTCACAGCCAATCTAAACTGGACCACTCACATTGAGCATATCACTACTAAAGCAATAAAAAAAAACTTGGCATCCTCAAAAGGCAATTATACCTTGCCAACAAAGAAACCAGACTGCATGCATACGTTTCCCTGATAAGACCATCGCTGGAGTTTGCTTTAATAATATGGCACCCTCACACTGAAAAGTTAACTTACCTGGTTGAATCAGATCAAAACAAAGCTGCGGGCTTCATAACGTCGTCATACTCACCGTATGAAAGCGTAAGTTTCATACTGAAATCGCTTAATCTGCCCTTCCTTGCCACGCGCCGTAAACTTGCAAGGCTATCTAATTTTCACTCGCTCTTCCACAACAACTCCCAGTTTGCGCGCAAGCATATCCTCCCGCCATCACACATTTCAGCCCGTGTTGATCACCCTAACAAAGTTAATCCCATCTTCCCGAGAACAAAAACATACCAAAATTTGCCCTTAGCCCTGTCAATAACCAACAGGAATTCCTTGCCAGCTGATGTAGCCATTCTAACAGAATCATCATCTTTTCTGAAAGCGGTAAAAGTGTTCTTAGAAGTTCCAATCGATTAATGTAGTTATGCGGTGGTGTTGTTTTTGTGAATTACTTGAATATTTTGTGTGTGTTATTCGCGCCTACACTTGTTACCTGGAGCCTATTGTATTTTGTTAACGTACCTTTTCTTCTGCTGAGTTTATATATATGTTTTTTATTATTCTTATCACCACTGTTGTGTGTACTCTTTTTTCAATTTTTTTCCATTTAAGCTTCATATAATGATGCTTCTGAATATTTAATGTATTTTACACATGTTGAAAATCTTCCTAATCCCCCCCTTTGTCATGCCCTCCCGGGTCCTTAGGGAATGTAAATAAATAATTAAATAAATGAAGCACTGGGTCTTGGTGGTGAACACAAGGCTGATGTCCTTCGTGATTGACGGCGTTGTTGGCGGCAATACCGAGTGATATGTCCATTGAAACCACAGTTGTAGCACACGACAGGGTCACGGTTTATATTATATTCATCGGAACGAATCCTGGGCCGCTGCTGTCAGCGAGGAAGTTTGTTATCATGTGAAGAACGAGTTCTCGCCACTCTCTGGAATTTATTGTATTCGTCGTAAGTTGCATCTTGGTAGTAAGGTCGGTACTGTCCTTGCCGCAGCGGGACATAGTCCGGCTGAGAGTCCTGAGTATAAGAGCGTGGCTGTCCTCGTCGTGATCGAGCGTCATAGGCAGGGCCTCTATCGTAGAGACGTGGCTGATACTGAGGTGTGGCATCAGAATCCTCAAGGCCCTCTGCCACTGGGTGCAAGGAGAATGAAGCAATGTTTCGCTCGAACTCTGGTGGCAGGTAGGGGGGATGAGTGCTTGGGTGTGCCACTTGCGCGTACAGGCCGAGTTCTTCACGTATTATTTGCCAGATCGTTTATGCAACATCAAGCGCCTGATTGCTGTCTATATTCGCGATAGTCGTCACATTGGCTAGCCTGCCAAACTTCGGCATGATGCGCCTTGTCTTTAGTTGCTCAAAAGTGCGGCAATGGCGAATGACATCGGCGACAGATCTCAAGGTGTCTTTCGCGATAAAGAAACTGTAAACATCCTCGGCAATTTCATTTAGAATGTGCCCGACTTTGTCTTCCTCAGACATTCCGGATTGAATGATCCTACATAGCTTTATGACTTCCTCAATGTAGGTCGTGAGAGTTCCACCTGGCACTTGAGCGCGTTGCATTAGCGTCTGTTCTGCTCTTCTTTTTCGTTGTTGGGTCGCCGAAACGCTCTTTCATCTCAGAAACAAATCTATCCCACGTCGTTAGCGTTTCCTCCCGATTCCCGTACCACTTTAGTGCAGTATCTGTCAGAAAGAACGCGACGAACAAAAGCTGAGAAGCGGCATCCCATTTGTTGGCGGTGCTCACCCGTTTGTAATGGATGAGCCAAGCCTCGACGTCTTCATCTGTTCTGCCGGCGAAAGGACGAGCATCTCCCAGCAGTTGTGGAGCCGAACTGGTCGGCGCAGAAGTCGAGAGGGGTTGGTGTTCATCTGCGTTGTGGGACATGTCCAGTCCTGATGGATTCAGTGGAAGTCCAGCAAGGTGACAGCTCTATCGAAGAACTTGCGGTTATACCTCCGTCTTCGGGTGTCGATTACCCAGCACCTGCACCACAACTGTAACAGCGAGCTGTGATGAAATGTTTTTTTTACAAGAGAGGAGCGGTGGTCGTTCGCGGCAGTGCACTGAAATCGTGCTAAGACTCTTAGTCTTCCTTTCCTTCTCTTCTCTGCCTTTTACTAGTCCGTTAAAATACCAATCGGGTGCAAGGAAGCCGTGGCGGCCATCTTGCCATAGGCAAGATAAGATTGCTAAAGTGCGCCCACAGCGTCTTTCCACCATGGTTTTGGATGATTATGGAGAATATCAAGTAGTAAATTTTCAATAATAACAAACCAAAGGCAAACAAGAATGCAGTCGACCTTATTCTGTTTCTCTAATCGTTTTTTTTTTTGCAAGAATGCACACCGGTGAGGGGTATGTAACGCTGATTTCGAAAAGAAGCATAGTAGTGAGAGCTTAGCTCACTCTCTCGGCATTCATTTTCTTGTTTAGTTTTTTCTACATGTGACGGAATCCTATGCATAAGTAGTTTTCGACCACTTTCTTGCGCGGAATAGAAAAGTGGGTGTCCCGTACTTCGCAAATACAAACGGTTATGCTCATAAGAAAAGTATGTACGAGAAAAAGCTGCAGTGATCCCTCCCCCCCCCCCCTAATCTCACAATTAGGCTTTTGATTCTTATTCCTTCTATTTTAGCTTGAAGATTTGGTTTTTAGCTTGAAGATTACTTGGTTCACTACAATTTTCCGTGGTAGAATTTTTTTCTGGAGCTGTTTTAGCTCCCCTTAGGAAACACGAATCACTTTTTTTGTAAGAGCTGCCGTGTAGTCGATGCAACTCTCACATCTTCAGGTTGAATACAAATACGGCGCGAGTATCCGTGGGTTGTGATTCCTCGTCGCAATTAGTTGCACCACGAGCAATGCACAGTTCAGACATTGGTTTTCGCTCGCTGCACATCACATACCAAAATTAAAAGCATGAATGTAAGAAAAAGTGACAGGTCCCCATGTGTTGCTCGAATAATGTTAACTATCCTCGTGGTAGCGAGCTAAGCTTCAAATAACAACTAAGAAGCAGGGGCGTAGCCAGGGATTGGCACACCGAGCCCATGCCCCTTCTTCCCCTGCGTCCCCCCGAAAGTGTTTCGCCATGACATAATGACATAGAGAGCGAAAAATGGTGATCTCAAGGAGGTGCACCTCCCGAGAACAACAGAAGCCCCCCCCCCCCCCCCCCCTACACACACACGCAAAAAGAAATTTTTGCCTACACAGAGTTTATGAATATACTAGTTGGTGAATAGACTATAATAGCTCACAGAACACTCATTTCTTCCGTAACGTGCACTATGAGCTACTCTTGCTACGCCGCTGCAAGTAATCGAAAACTAAAGGACGGAGACGCCAATTTAATTTCAACGAATAGTCACCGGTGTGTTATTTCCCCACTCGCTTACCACTCTAGTGGTATCAACCAGCACAAGAATCTGTACGATGGACATTGCAGGTGTTTCAACAACGCAGTCGGTAAACTTGAGGTTCCCAGTCCTGAACAGTTGTCACAATTCGGCAAGTGCCTCTAACATATGTGATAACTATATTTTGGTACTAGTCATCCCGTCATATAATTCAACAGTGTTCAACAAGTGTTCAACAGCACACCCCGAAGTGCTTCGAGCATTTTGGTACTTAAGAAACCCGTTAGGAAAAAAATGACCGTGAGATATGTTAATACAGGCTGAGAGCTATCAACATATGCATGTGTTCCGGCATAGAGTTTTCATCAAGCTCGCAATATGATACTCACAGCTGGCACATTACCCCAGAAAACCTGTCCGCTTGATCTATGTAGACTTAAGAAAGGCACAATGTATTCATTACAGCGTCCGGACGCTATAAAACACCGGCGAATATCTGAAACATCTGGGCGGCTGCAGCCACTTGGGTTGCCGAATGCGCACTTTCAGCATTTGGCAATATGGCAGCACACGGCTTCACCTGAGAGCCACCCCCTCCACTCCGATAAATAAAACTTTAACCTTCTTGGGCTCGATAGCAAGCATTTAGGGCTCGCAATGCCGAAGCGGCACCAAGAAGTCGGCGAGCCAATCCGGTTGAGAGCTCGTGAAGTGGCGGCGAAACGACAACGAAGGCAAGCTGACGCGGACTCCAGATTTCGGGAAGCCTAGTCGAACCACAAGAAGTGTACGCTACCCAACTTGAATGGCGCTACCCAACTTGAATTCCTTGACCGCAGCTTCGGGCAGAGCTGTAAAGCGTGCGATCGTTTGTGATTTCATTACAACGTCCCCAAAAGCACAAACATTATCGTTAAATGTATCATTTAGAGAGGGCAATATACGGGAATTCACGGTGGTCTGATGATGCCCAGTGCTTCGCCCGATCATCATCATTTATTCTGTCGATATGCAGCAATATTTATTTTTCAAAATGGCGACACGATGACTTTTCGCGAGGCATTGTATGGAGGGTACGCGAATTTGTTTTCGCGTACTTGTACGCCTAAAGAAAACGCACTTGTACGTGCATTTCATTTTCGTGAAGCGCACCGTATGAGTGGATTACGCAGGAAAGAACGTTTATTATTGAAAAAAGTTCATTTTATTGACTGCAGCGGTTTTGCGTTCGCAGATGATTCCATAACCACGGATTACTGAGCACGAGAATACTCCGTTTCGCCGCTATTGAGGGTCACCGAACCTAATTTCCGAAAAGCTACATTTAACTTCCTTGACGTAAGGTACGCCATGTGGCACCGACCACATATCTATTGTCGTAAAGACGAGAAAGTTAAACGGAGTTCACAGGTGCTGTTGTGACAGAGGTATTACTGATGTTTGAACAGATCAATCACTGAAACGTTGGCGAAGCGAAACGGTCGTCGTTTTCTTCGGCTGAATACTGTCAATTGTTAATATCTCGTTACTAAATGCGAAGCATTTCTTAGCAAACTTCGGCGACTTTAACCGTATCTATCTATCTATCTATCTATCTATCTATCTATCTATCTATCTATCTATCTATCTATCTATCTATCTATCTATCTATCTATCTATCTATCTATCTATCTATCTATCTATCTATCTATCTATCTATCTATCTATCTATCTATCTATCTATCTATCTATCTATCTGTCTGTCTATCTGTCTGTCTGTCTGTCTGTCTGTCTGTCTGTCTGTCTGTCTGTCTGTCTGTCTGTCTGTGTCTGTCTGTCTGTCTGTCTGTCTGTGTCTGTCTGTCTGTCTGTCTGTCTGTCTGTCTGTCTATCTATCTATCTATCTATCTATCTATCTATCTATCTATCTATCTATCTATCTATCTATCTATCTATCTATCTATCTATCTATCTATCTATCTATCTATCTATCTATCTATCTATCTATCTATCTATCTATCTATCTATCTATCTATCTATCTATCTATCTATCTATCTATCTATCTATCTATCTATCTATCTATCTATCTATCTATCTATCTATCTATCTATCTATCTATCTATCTATCTATCTATCTGTCTGTCTGTCTGTCTGTCTATCTGTCTGTCTGTCTGTCTGTCTGTCTGTCTGTCTGTCTGTCTGTCTGTCTGTCTGTCTGTCTGTCTGTCTGTCTGTCTGTCTGTCTGTCTGTCTGTCTGTCTGTCTGTCTGTCTGTCTGTCTGTCGCAAAATAACCGGTCCGAAGACGTTGAGCGCAGACGACCCGTTTATTCTTCATGGAGTTTAAGCTGTCCTGGTTCTTGTTCTTGTTCATCTATTGTCCGTGGCGCATACCCCCTGTGAGAGATTGGCCAAGAATGTAGTGGTTTTGTACAGTATTTTGTAGTGTTAGAATAATGGAGATTATATAATGGAAAAAATTACCGATGACGTAGGAAATTTTGGTGCTTGATCTAATGCACGTAGTTATTTGAATAAAGAAACCAATTTATTCTTAAAATAGATACCTATATAATCTTGTACACACGTTAGAATAATACAGAATTATCAGTGAACCTATTAGTTTT